ACACACACACACACACACACACACACACACACACACACACACACACACACACACACACACACACACACACACACACACACATCTTACGTAACGCACTCACTAAAATATATAACATTATAATAGAATAGTGAGACTGATTTTAATATGCAAGACTATCACAATTAACAATTCATAAAGAATGAAGTTTTTTGAACATGTCATGTGTTTTTTTAATATACAACTACATTTTACAGGGTTCAAAAAGTCTAAACCAGAGCAACGAAGTAATGAGAAAGTATCAGACAATCAACAAGTGATTAATGAAAAACAAAGCTAGTTAACCAATGCGCATTTTTTTAGTTGGACTTTGAAATTACACAAGGCACATAATTGTTCAACACCTCATACCAACCCGCGTAAATTATTCTATTATATCGTGTGGGAAATAAATATTTCTAAAACTCAAAGACTTGTTTCATTTCAAAACATTTTTAGAACTCTCAGCACCTTAGAACAAACGGTTTTTCTGAAGAACGACCCGCGATTTCTTTCCCAGTGCGTCATAACTGGGCTCAAGTGTAATTTTCTTGAAACCACTGGTCATTGTAAATCCGTTGAGCTTCCATTGAGAATATATTGCAATTATGATGATTTTGATATCCAGCTAAAATCTAGTATCAATGGCAGTTGAGTCTCAACAGATTGTCAATGGAATGGCATTAATTTATTCTGTCCATTGATATTTTTTATTCTTATTATTATCGACATTAAATTGACAACGATAACTAGTTGTGTTTATTAAAATAATCACACAACATTTTATGTATGCAAGGAAGAATAAAATTGATGAGGTGCACATTCGGAACGCATCCGAAGAAAAACTATTTTTATTAAAAAAAAGTGACCCTTTCCCTCTTCGTCGTCTTATGTATATAATATTAATCCGTTGGTATAATTTATTCTTATTATTATTGACATTAAATTGACAACGATAACTAATTTTGTTTTATTAGATTATTTTAATTTATCGATATAATAATTATAAGGGATATATAAATTTATAAATTATAATAAAAGCAACTGTTAGAGAAGAGGGCTGGTTGTCACTTATTTTTTGTAATTTGGAATAAAAGCAATGAAAACTTGAAAATTAACGCGGTTTATTATAAAAGGCAAGGCATAAAGGCACAGCGACATTTTTTTACAGACGAGAGATTTTATATATTGGCACAGGTTTACCATTGAACCTAGTTCAAAATTATAACAAATTGAAGACGAATCTATTTATTCTAATATTTAATAAAATAAAAACTAATAAAAATACAAAGTATTTAACAACAACGTGTGAAAACCTTGTATCTAGTTTTTAACGACTTGTAGCGGCGTCTATGAAAAATCTATGAAAGTGTTTAATATAATAATTAGTTATAAAATCGTTAAAAACTAGATACAAAGATCCGACAAACATGCACATGAAAAAATTCGTGAGGTTGGTTCGTTCCGTGGCTTAGTTGGCATAGCGTCTGTCACGGTTTGCTAGAAGACGCGTCGGTTCGAATCCGGCCGGATCGAAGGATTTCTTTCTAAGTGTTCGTTCGTTCGTTCTAAGTTATTATTTATTCTTTTTAAAAATCTTTGTATTAATAATTATAACAAACAAGTGGAGAAATTTCACAAAAAAATAATTGAATATGGCGGTGAAACATGCAATAAAAACACTTAATGTGACAACTTGTTTAGCTGTTCGTTTTGTTTACGTGTAAGTAATTATACAATGTACCTTCAATTGTTTGTATGCCTTGATGTATGGTCAGACACAACATAACTTTACTTTGTTAGTTACTGTCAGTCAACCTCTGTGCTACCAGTTCCACAAATCAATGAAATATAAATTATTACGAACGAGTAGCTTCTATATTTGTAACGATGATTAATATATATATTAACTAATCAATACAATTTATTATAATAAGTTAATATTATTATTATATGCACGTGAACATTTGATGCATCTGTCGGCGCATGTTGCTATCGTCTTGTTGCGTAATTGTTTGAGTATGCCCCGCATGACATACATCTTAAGGACATCTCCTACGTGGCTTTTTGAGCGGGATGTGGCCCTTGTGGATGATGCACTCAGGATTACGCTGGAGGTCGTGCTAAATATTAGTTTAAGTCATCCACAGTCGTGTCAAGCTGTACTTCCGGTTAGGCATGGCGGTCTTGGAGCGCATCGAGTGCAGGATGTAGGCTTTGTGGCATTCTTGGATTCCTCTTATGGCTCTGCGGATCTCGTTGCTCGCATTTTAGCTCGTGATGGCAGCGAATTTCGCGTGCCTTTCCAGTCAGAGGCTCTTACAAGCTTTTTGCAGAGAAATTGGGACGATTTCTCTGTAAACAAATATACGGTTCTTTGTTGGAAGGCTCCTCGGGTATGGCTCGCCTCAAAGCCGTCGCTAGATCGGAGTCAGGAGCGTGGTTACATGCTTTGCCGTCTCCATAGTTGGGTACTCTGCTCGATGATAATTCTTTGAGGATAGCGGTAGCATTGCGTTTGGGAAGCAAGGTGTGTGAGCCGCACCGCTGTATGTGTGGTACAATGGTGATAGAGGACGGACACCATGGCTTAAGTTGCCAAAGATGTACGGGTCGTTTTCCCAGACACCGCGCCATAAATGATATTGTGCGACGGGCGATGGTGTTAGCTAATGTCCATTGCATGCTCGAGACCCGGGGCTTATATTTTGACGCACTTTTTAAAATTACACGACTTTTGAGAGAGAGAAACAGTAACATATTACATTTCAACAACTGCACTGTTTCAAGCTGACATAATAAATGACAAGCTATTCCAGTCTTGTAACGAAGTAAACAAAGGGACCGTTCGGCGAAGTAAAACCTCGTTATTATATGGCAATGAATTTCTCTACAAAATCTATACAAAAAGTACGAGTGCGAGACAGGAGGTCCGGTAGATCCTGGTTGCAACCTGTTTGCTAAAATCAATACAAGTCGAATAATCTCAATACATTTGTTACTCAGCTATTTAAGGTTCGGAGGGAACATCAGTAACACAAAACGGTCAATGCCATCTAGCGGAAAAGTGGGGAACTAACTCGTTACAGTCTTTTATTCCAGTGTTTGCGTAAAGAAATTAAAAATGTATTGTCATTCTATGTACAACGAAGCTTTAAGCTTCCAAATTTATATGGCTAATGGCTACGGAGTGCGATTCTGTGCCTGCAGATTTATTCTCTGAACGTTATAACTTAGGCCTTCTAAAGGCGACAGTGAATTGGCATTATTTAAGGTGTGCATGCTCAATCGTTGACCTAATCGTCACTTACGAGAGATGAAGGTCAAATGCGCAGTCTTTTTATATGTTGTATGTAAAAGGCCTGTCAGATATTACGATAAGTTCATGAGGATGATTAAAAATAAGTTCTCACAGATGGCGCTGCAGCAAAAACGCCGTTTAAACCAATACAAAGATTCGCAACACGCATATAAAGAAATTGATAACATCTGCTCGCACAATCCGTAGCTCATTTGGTAAGAGCGGTAGCCACGTTGAGGCAACAGACACTGATTCAAGTCCAGTCGTATTGAATGAATTTTACCATGTTTGTTCGATCTTTGTATCAACAATAAATAAACAAGTAGAGAATTCTCACAAAAAAAATTGATGGCGTATAATTGTTATTTCAAACCAACGTTTTGGGCACTTGTTAGGTCTCATGGACACAGCTGACTAAGATGGCAAAGTTATCAACCAGTTACCACCTTATTTTTCACTCTTCTTCTTCTTTCTGTCCTTATCCCATGCTAGGTGGGGTCGGCACAACACTTTTCACTATTATTGCAAAAGTTAATAATGAAATACCTTATTTTTACCAAAAGATAGCATGCATTCATTCTAGGATCATATTAAATATATTAGTAATACGGGTGGCGCACTATAAGTTTCCGGAATGAATAAGAAAAAAATACTACAAATGGTCAGAAATAAATTTATTGTTTCTCAAAATATTCTCCGTTAGTGTTAATGCACTTCTTCATACAAATGAACCAATTTTGAAAACATTTATGCCACTCCTCCGTGACAATCTCTGAAACATATTTTTATACTTTTCGACAGCCTCTTCAGATGATGAAAATCGTGGACCGCTTAACTGGTTCTTAATTTTTGGAAATAAGTAAAAGTCACAAGGTGCCAGGTCGAGACTGTACGCGGGATGGCTCATATGGTCAACGTTGTTCACCTTCAAAAATTCATTTGTTTGTCTGGCCGTGTGAGAACTGCCATTATCGTGGTGCAAGATGATATGGCGTTTACGGTTATTTATACGGAGTTTGTCAATAACTTCCGACAAACAAATGATCGTATACCAATCACTATTCACGATACAACGATTCTCCAAAGAAACAGTAGCCACGTGTCCAGTTATATTAGTCCGCTGAGCTGTTAAATTACACTTAAAGTCGTAAAAAATCATACTACAAAAATTTTCACGAGTTAAATCTATCATGATGATGTAGACAACTAATTTCTAAAATGACGCTGTAGCGTAAAATGTAATGTAAAAAAACAAGTGCCAGTCAGATGAAACAAACTGTATTTTACAGCCAGCGGATGCTCAGCGCGTCGCACGAGTTGGCCAAGAACTCTTGACGCATCCCACAGGTAGTCGTAGCTACTGGCGTCTGGCCAGAGCCGTTGCGTCGAACTTCTGCCAGCCCTCGCTGCCACCGCTGAGATATTCTGACGGCAATCTAGCCCACAAGCCGCAAGATAAAGCCGACCTCTTGGCAAATCTGTTTGCGGCTAACTCCTGTCTCGACGACTGTAACGCACAGCCACCAACTCTACCTCACTGTGGCTACACGATGTCTGATATTCGTATCAGACAATGCGATGTGCGTACGCAGCTGCAGTCTCTCGACGTCCGGAAAGCTAGTGGTCCTGATGGTATCCCAGCGATTGTACTTAGGAATTGCGCAGCTGAGTTGACTCCCGTGCTAACGCGACTGTATCGTCTGTCGCTCTCTTCAGGTCGTGTGCCGGACTCTTGGAGAGAGGCTAATGTGCAACCAGTTCCCAAAAAAGGCGACCGATCAGACCCGCATAATTACCGTCCCATAGCCATTACTTCCATAATATGCAAGGTTTTAGAGCGGATCCTTAACAAACAACTGACCCAATACCTAGAAGATCACTCCATAATTAATGATCGGCAGTATGGGTTTCGTCCGAAACGATCAACGGGTGACCTTCTAGCGTACTTATCGCATATTTGGGGTGAGGCTATAGACAAACGTGGCGAGTCGTTGGCTGTTAGCCTCGATATAGCCAAAGCGTTCGATCGGGTCTGGCACAAAGCTCTTCTCTCCAAGCTCCCGGCGTACGGTTTGCCAGCCCAGTTATGCAGCTGGATTGCCGATTTCCTTCGTGAGCGGAGAATTCGCGTCGTTTCTGACGGCAGCATTTCGAGGTTCGTGAATGTGAACGCCGGCGTACCGCAGGGATCCGTCCTATCTCCCACGCTTTTCCTTCTGCATATCAATGATATGCTTCCACTTGGGAATATTCATTGTTATGCAGATGATAGCACTGTTCATGGGGGATATCATGGATTCCCCGCAGCTGGGCGCGCCGATACTGACAGAGAGCGATCTGATCTTGTCGTTGAGCTCAATAGGATATTGGACCTCATATCTGCATGGGGATCCAGTAATCTTGTTGAGTTCAACGCCAAGAAAACACAGGTTTGCGCGTTAACAACAAAATTGTCGCCGTTCCTTCCCATGCCTTCTCTGATGAGCACAGCACTTTCACCTCGGAGCAGTTTCACCTTGCTCGGTATGGAAATCTGCTGTGATTTGAATCCAAGGAGCTACATCGAATCTGTGATCAAAACAGCCTCACGGAAACTCGGAGTCCTGAACAAGGTGCGACGTTTTTTCACGCCGGACCAGTTATGCCTGCTGTACAAAACACAGGTCCGGTCTTGCGTTGAGTATTGTTCGCACTTGTGGGACGGCTCCGCCAAGTACCTACTCGATGCCTTGGATAAATTACAGCGTCGTGCTACTCGAATTATAGGCGACGAAGAGGTCTCATCACGCCTTGAACCTCTGCAACTGCGTAGAGATGTTGCATCGCTTAGCGCCTTTTACCGCATGTACCATGGTGAGTGCTCTGAGGAGCTGTTCAACCTCATCCCCCCTTCCCCGTTCCTGCTCAGAAGCACGCGTGCTGGCCTTCGTAGTCACCGTTTCACTACCTGCCGCATTCCATCGCGTACTAAAAGGTTCGGTGGCTCCTTTCTCTGCCGCACGGTTGACAAATGGAACTCCCTTCCGGCACATGTCTTCCCTCCCTCTTATGATATGGGGTCCTTCAAACGAGGCGTGAAGAGGCATATTGTAGGCAGGCAGGGTGGAGGCGGCTAGTGCAGTGAGGATTCCATCGCTGCACTAGGTTCCTTCGCGTTTGGATACCACTTTCCACTTAACATCAGGTGGAGTGGAGTCATTTGCCTGTCAGGTATAAAAAAAAAAAAAAAAAAAAAGCCAAAGAGTTCCATTTTCAAAATATGTTCTAATAACTTTTTAAATACTGTTTGTGTAAGTGGCCAGTTCCGGAAACTTATAGTGAGCCCTATGTAAGATCCAGTTTAATATAGAACGAGATAAGTGGTATTTTCGCTTTATTAGATATTTTAATCAAAAGAAATCGTAATAACACCCTAGATCCTTTTGTATTTCGAAAGAAAACGCATATTGACATGTACCTTATGACAATTACCATCACCATCACAGTTACCTACCGTGGGCGAATCTTTGCTTCAAAGAGAATGACGTCTGCGACAGTAATCATCTGGCAGGGGAACTTCAGCGTAAGAAGCAAGTCTTACGTGCAAACAAGTTCCACGCTAATGCCACAAACGCGCGTCGTGCAACAACATCAACAGTCGAGCGCAGACCTGCCATTGATGATTGTAAAAAGTCCAAAGCGTTGGTTTGCTTGAAAAAAAGTAAATATACACGATTTGGACCCGACAAAATAGTTTCATTTCCTATGTGTAGGTAACAATCACGAAAACATAAGAACACTATGAATCATCATGATATTTAATCAAAATGAATATTGCAATATTAATCGCTTTAATTCGTTTATCTGAATAGCGATAGGTAGCAGATTACGTGTAATTTAGAACATTGGAATATCATATGTAATAAATTATTCTCATAATTTTATGATAAAGGCGATTCTCTGAAGTGACTCAATTAATCTGTAACAAGGTTAAGTTGTAAAATTCGACTCATGCATAATTTATCAGGTTTGCAAAAACACCGTCTATAGTGTCATGGGCACTTGAACATGGCTTTTGCAAAATATCAACATAATTAATTAATTTGATTACACTCATACTGGAAAAACTATGCTCTCTCGTATTTCATAGTAGTCATCGATGTAATAAATATATAGCTACTTATAAATTTATACTATGATTACGGATAAGATTAAGAACTGAAAATAATTTGGATTTGAAGAGTTCGATTCACACCGTCGTTGAAACCGTAGGTGTCACTCGTGTTGACGCCGTTCTTATTGAATTTAATAAATAATCTGTAACATTTTCTAAGATGATATCAATTAGAGTAATTTTTGTAGTATTTTGTGCATTCGTGTTAACTGACAAAGTAGGTAGTGACCAAAACAATAGAGCCATTGATATTGAATGGGAAGAAGCACATCCACCTTTCGATCCTAACATATATGAGGAAGTTTTAGATCCTGAGCTGTGTGCAAAACAAATAGAATATTTGACTATGAACGACACGCTTTTAATGATCACGTGTAAGTACTGGAAATTTTTTAATTTACATTTTGTACTATTTCGTAAACTTATGATACATAGGATATCAACCCCCGCAAGTTATCTAGTTAGTTTGCAGCTTTGGGCCTCGACTTCTCATACCTGATTCTTCAGATATCTTACATTTATAAGAAATATAATAACGGGCTTCTAGTCGAAATATGACGCAAAATATTTATAAACAAGCATATTTCAACTTTCTAAAATCTCTACTTACCGGTGAGAGTATGAATAGACGTAAATCTTTATCACAAAATTATTCACAGTTATCGAGGCGGGCCCAAGAATGCCCAGAGGAATTCTTCAAGGAAATCTTATAGACCTAGGAAATTATCACCAATGCCTTGGTATTAACAGAGAAATAGATGACATGGTTATCGATGGAAAGTATTGTCAAATAAATATCGGATTGTCAGATCTTGCAAATATAGAAGGTACAACTGAGTTGGATAACGTAATAGAAGCTTTTGAAACTATAAAAGATGAAGTAAATTTGTATAACATATTACAAAATAACTTAGAAATTTTGAATGGGATAAAAACAACGAAAACTTCAAGGTATGAAGTAATTTTTTAACTGTAAAGTTAAAATAATTTTATTTGATATTTCTCAGTAAAGTTATTTACTGTTCCAAAAATAAATACCTAATTATGACTGAAGGACAGGACAGGTAACAAATCGAAATATTACAAATAAAACTAAGTAAATTAAGAAGAATATCGAACTAAAATTATTTGATGACAAAACCCTGGCAATAAATTTTATGTTACAGTTATGTTCTTTTTTTACCAGTCAGTCGTAAGTACAATACAAAGTACATGAACCTTGAGAAAATCGATTTTTTCGTTTTATCTGAGAAATGTTGACATTCACGAAATATTTCAACATTTTAGAACGGATCTAGTAGATATCGGAGCTTTGCGCTTTAGTGTAGCTATTTGTCTTCCAAAACCTTGCTCCACAAGACCGGCAATTTCAAATCTCTTTGGAACAGAGTTGGTCAATTTTGAGGAACAATTTTGCCGATTCAAAAATGACAAACCTTGGGCTCCGGGACTGTATGTGGCTATGTAAGTACTTTCAATTAATATTCATCGTATTTATTCTTGTTTTAAACTCAAGTGTGAAACCCGTAAATACTTAGCTATTCTTTGAATCTTTATTAAGAATATATTCTAATCATCAAAAATAAAGAATGTCATTAACACTCTTTGTTTTTAGTGTTGTCTTCAGTATAATTGGTTTACTGGCTATTCTTGGTACTAGCTACGATATCTGGAATACACAAATTAAGAAACGAGGTGAGTGCTTACTTTAGCAACTGTTCGTGTCTTAGTAGGCATGGTTAGTGATAAAGTTTAGTTGGTCTGCAATACTTTGTACCATCATTTAATTTGTTTCTATTGCCAGATTTATATTATGTATATGAATCTTGAACAAAATATTACCTTAGCCTTACTTTTCATAATCAGGCGCTCGTGTCATTAGTGTAGTATCATGAAATTGATTATGTGTTTTGACATATTATAACTGAAACATAGAATAATATTTACCACGTTTACAAAATCTACTCGTAATTAGCATTTCAATTTCTTAAGTAGGATAACATTCTTGTTTTTTTCAGATCCCAAATCTCTCAATGCAATTTGTCTATCGTTCTCAGTATACACAAATTCTCGTCGTCTCGTTACATATAAACCAGTTCGCGGTTCTTTGGAATGTGTAGACGGTATCAGAGCAATAACTATAACTTGGATTGTAATCGGGCATTCATTTAGTGGTACTGCACCACTTATAAATGGCCTGGAGTTTTTCCAGGTACTTTCATATTTATTATGTATAATAATTTATTTGTGGTTGCATGGTACGTCCCCTTTTTATGCAGAGTCTAACTGAGTCGTAATCAACCCCCTACTTATTTCTCATTCTTCTTCTATTTCTCCCCTTACTTATTACCGGGAAAACGGCACTCTGTTGTGTTCTGAGAAAATTACAATTTGGATCAGCTGTACCCCGTATAAATGTCTTCATTACAAACACTCGTTATCAATTAAGTTGTTCTTACTGTGTTGTAGTGGGGTTTGTCATTCAGTGCCATTTGGTTGACTTCGGCCGATATTGGTGTGGACACATTCTTCATGCTAAGCGGTTTGATGATTGTCTACACAACTGTTGGAAAAATTAGCAGTAGTAAGTATTCATTCACGGTCCCTGATGTTTACATAAGAAGGCGCATGCCTTATCGTATCACGACTGTCAATATACAATTAATCAGAACGTTGAATTGTTATTTATATAAGCGACGTTTTGTTTTTACATCGAAATGTTAGTTATGTGAATTTTAAAACTATCCCAATCTTACAAGATTCTTTATAACGATAATTTTCTTTAAAAATTACTGGTATCCCAGTAATTTATTAGTTATATATTTATTATTTGCATTACCTCCGTGTACTGTCATGTATCGGGATTATATGGCGTTTTTAAAATTTGAAGCCACCACTTTCGTCAGAAAATGTTTAACCGACTTCTCAAATCGAATGTATTTTATTTGCATTTGTAAAGCAACTTTGATAATTCTTTTTTATTATAAAGTTATTATGTTATATTGACTGTCGTTTCCTGGCGCGATACTTAGAAAATTGTTATTTGTATTTTTATATGTTTTAAATTATAGTTTTAAATAAATTTCTTTTATCGCTTTTCTTTTTAACCGACGTAAAAAAAGGAAGTTTTTAATTCTACTTTATTTTTTTGTATGTATGTGACGCAATTATTTATTTATTTATTTATTGCATTGTCACACTTATTAATAATTTACGTACAGTGGTTTACTCCGGCATTTGTGAACCAATTTTGGATGATCGTTTTTTGTTGGAAATAAGATACCTTAGTATTGGTCCCATTTAAATTTGAAGAAAGTATCCCACCTGTAAGGGTACTAAATTACGAGACAAATCAGCTTTATTGGATTTCACCCACTTTCCGTTAACCGTTTTCAATAAAACTTGGCAAATATATATAATTCCACCAACTTGAAGTTGGTTTATTTTTTTTATAAAATGGTAGGTAGAATTATAACATAAATAGCTTGATTTTTGCCACACTACAAAAATTTAAAACAAACTGCTTTCCAGCATAGTCCAGAAAATCCACATGAGAATCTATTTTTAATACTACTTTTAGATATTTAACCATTGCAACATCGAAGTGACTAAAGAAAAATATCTCGCAAATATCACTCGTGTTTTCAGCGCATTGAATAAATGTTTTAAAAAGTTACTAGAGCACAATCTATGTGATTTCTCACTGTAAAAAAAAATATACATTTTTGTGTATGTATTTGTATGATTTAATTGTAATTATTGACAAAAACTCTACATATACTCCGACCATAAGAATATAATCTCATGAATATTGTACTGTATAGCATTTTTTTTTATGAACAAAGCTTCTAAAGAAATGTCAAATTTTGGACTCCTGTCTTTATTTATAATAAAAAGCGACGGCGGGACGAACAAGTTGTGCTCCTGATAGTTAACGATACGCCTACCCATTACAGTAGTGCTACGCAGAACTTCAAATCGCAAAGTTCTAAAGGGCGTTTCTACTACGCATCCGTCTTTCTGAGACATAAATACTACGTGCTTGTAATTTCACCAAAAGAAGAATTTCTTAGAACAAACCCACTGTGGCTCGGTTTTTCATATAATTGCTTGTTTCATGTTCTCTATAAAACACAATGTATGTACATTTTTTAATCCATCTTCATTATTTTTTTTATGTTACAGTGAAACTATTAAAAAAATTGCATTTGTTTTACCTAAGTCGACTTGTACGACTGTATCCTCTACTAGCCACTACCGTGTTGCTGCAAGCTGGTGTAGCACATTATATGTATGACGGTGCTATGTGGTCTGTAGTAGCTGCCGTGACCACAAATTGTAGGAGAAGCTGGTGGTTAACATTGCTTTATGTGCAAAACTTTTTTCGACCAATGGTACGTATTATTTTTATAAATAATAGTAAATAATAAATAAATAACGCACACACTCAACATAGCCCCGCACTAGGGAAACCCTGTGTCGCGGGTGCCATGGACACACACATAGACAACCACAAATTACACCCAAACTCACGAGAGAAATAATTGTAGGCCATACAACTATTTCTCCCGGCCCGGAAATCGAACCTGGGACCTATGCGTGGCAGTCCAGCATGGTAACCGTTCGGCCACGGAAGCAGTTAATAGCAATTAATTAGTATTGCTTTTATAGACTGTGTCAACGTGTTATACTTTCATGTGATTTCTGTTTTCTTATTTTTTCCTCCACTCCGGTTCATAGCCAGTTCCTTCATTTCATTATAGCTGTTCACTTTTATCTTGTTTTCAATTTGTTCATTATGGAGTATAATGAACAAATCATCAACTCTTTCTTTTCCCTTCTATCCTCTCCTCAGTTATCACTCTCACAAATTCTTCATTACGTAACAAATATCTCAACATTTTTCCCTTCTCCTTTCTATTGCATTCAAAAGACTTCCCTCCTTCCCAATCCTTTCCAAAACTTCCTCATTTGATATCTTTTCAAACCATTTTATTTTTCTATTCGCGTCCAGTACCACATTTCAAATGACTCCAATCTCTCTCTGTTTTTGTCTATGTCTCGCATTAATACAGCGCGGTACTTCAGACATAGGCCAACGTTAGTTCATGAATATTCAAAAGTTTTGTGATTGTTGATTTGGATTGGTCAAATGTTTGTTTCTTATGTATGGTTATTTTTACTTTCAGTGTTTATCTAGTTCCTGGTACTTAGCAATTGATATGCAGTTACATATCTTGTCTCCACTGATTTTAATCTGGGTATTGTCAGGCAAAAAGAATCTCGCCTGGTCGGCTTTGGTTGTTGGATTGTTGATTTCTCTCACTGCGTCGTCAACTTACAACTTCTTAAACAATTTCATCGGTACTAACACACGACTTGTGTAAGTATTGTATTAAAATAATTTGAAATGATTCAATTTACTCCAATGGAATACTCTTAAAGTGAGAACATTATTCAACATGTTAATAATTATTGTGTTAACTTTTACCACGTTAACAGTGTTGACCGGTTCATAGATAATATCGTTTTAGTCCTCTTGTACTATGTGTCTATACAGGGTTTTTTCTAAAATACTAATTACCTTGAAGGACTATTATATATTCATATCATAAACAATAACTTTTGGTCCATGACATTCAATAATATATATTGCTTTCGTAAAAAACTAAATTATTATATTTAGATATTTTTATTGTAAAATTAATTTTCATTTTTTATAATATCAAGTGACGAGACGAACAAGTCATGCGCCTGGTGCTCGAAGCGACACACCTGCCACTCAGAACTTAAAATCGCAAAGTTCTTAGAGGCACTGCCACTGGGCGCGTCACCTTGAGACATAAGTTGACAAGTCCCATGTACCTGTAACTTCACCAGCATTCTTAACCCTTCTAAACCGGAACACAATAATAGTCACGGCGGCAGAAATGGATAAGGTGACAGTATTTCTCTGGACGAACTCTATTACAAGGAGCTCTACTGCTACTAAAAACTTTAGTAGGCTATAAGTGTTAATTTTTTTTTATTTTAGACCTGATCCTGTAGAGTTTGAAAGATACTCGAAATATTATTACTTCAGTACATTAACAAGATGTTCACCTTTCTTTGTCGGAATGTGCTTTGGATACTTTATCCATGTTTGGCGAGAAAATAACATTCGATTAACAAGGGTAAGTTTAAAACCTTAGTTGTTCAAGTAACGAATGTAAGGTGACTTATTTTGTCTGCAAATATTAATGTCATTCATGATATGATCATGATATGACGAGAGAAAATTTTGCTGAGTAATATTTGAAAAAGTGCTCAGAATTTAGAGCGATACCACACGATGCGCTGTATCGGCGTTGCGATGTCAGAGCTGTGTCTCTGCGATTTACTACATAATTATATAAATTGGACCTACATACATGCCATATGGTACGTTAAAACGGCGCGCGGCTATGGAACGCGTTAGCTTCGGGCAAATTACAAAGCCGGGATGTCTGCTGTCGTTGTTAAATGTTTCCATAACACAAGTGCTTTAGTTGCTTACTTTGGAATCAGAGCAACGTAGGTGATATTATCTAATATTAAAGGTGATTTTCCACTGACGAGGCTAGACGAGACTAGGAGAGATGAGAATTGACATCTCGCCGGCCTATTTCCAGCAAAAATTTCAGATTCAATGCTGTTCCGTTAATCTAGCGATAAGAACGCGGCTATTTATTATTGTTAAATATGTTAACGGAAGAAGATTCAGATGGAACCATCATTTTTTAAATCTCAAATCGCACGTACCTTACAATCTTGCAAGTTATGTTAATAGTCATTGCGAGCTCGCGTGAGCTCGCGCGAAATAGTGCGGCCACTCGCAACATCGCGCGAAATCGTATTGCCGTTGCAAAGTATAATACTCCATGTAGGCAGCATATGATTCAATATTACATCAACAAAATATTTTAATTCTTTCCTGGTTCATCTTTGTTAATCCAAACCATTTCCGCTAGGAGAGAATTGAAACCTCGTATAGCACTCGGTGCGTTAAAATCATAGCGTTGTGACCATTGCAACGTGTCCGTGTGACATTGCTCTTAAACGTCGCACCAACGACAGCATCAAATAGTCTCGCTATTACAGTTTAAGGTGATGAAGATGGAATTACAGAATGTGTTATTTCACAGATCTTGAATTGTATATTATGGATAGTTACCTTAGCTGTACTGTGGTTGGCATTCTACGCGACCGAGCCAATGAAAAAAATTGGTTATGATAACCAAATTTACGACAACTTTGTGAATTCCTTCATGCGACCAGTGTGGGCTCTTGGAGTTGGCTGGCTTGTTCTTGCTTGCGCTGAAGGTTACGGAGGTGAGAAAAACAAAAGTGCCTTTACAGAATGTTTAATAATAAAAATATACTTAGAATTTAGATACGAAACAAATATAATTATGCCACTGACAAGCCTCTATCCATAAACATTTAAGGTCTTTTATTTCTTAATAAGAGACTTGATGTGTAAATCACATATTAAAGTTTCAATTTTTCCCCACTCTCGAAATATACCAATTTTGAATTGAACTGTTTTACAACCGGTAAAGGTCTATCCACATATATCCGGGCCGTGACCGGGACGTAGACGGGCCGTGCTCCGTCAGGGGCTCAAAAAATATCGTTGTGTATATTTTGTATGAACTCGTTCACACATGTCCGTATCCGGGCCGGGGCCGGGACGGGCCCGCAGTTCATACATACTAGCACGCCCCGTCCACGTCCCGGGCACGGCCCGGATATGTGTAGATACTCCTTAACTTGGAAACTTTGATATTCACAGCTGTCATGTAAAAGGTTGTCATACATTGTTTTTGTATGTATACTTCTAAGTACAGTCACGTGTATGAATTTATAAATATTTTACATAATTGCTCAATAACGATTATTGTGTCTCTGGAAAAGTTTAATGTTATTTCTTACGTTGCATTTGTCAACCTAATATTTTTTTATTTAATAGTTTCAATAAAGACTTAATCACCTATTCAATCAATAATGCTCGCATTATCTTTAAACAGTCAAGTGTACAATACTTTTAAACAATTTCAGGCCCCATCAACTGGTTTTTGTCACTACGAATGTGGAAATTGCCGTCTCGACTTTCGTACGCGATATATTTGTTGCATGAGCCCGTACAAATCATCATAGTTGGAGCAGCTACGCAACTCCTTTATTTTTCTGTGTGGAATTTTGTAAGTATCTGCTACCATACAATATTGTTCGGGGAGCGTAGGGTTGAAAATTATTATTTTAACTACATCTAGGTACTCGTTGTAAATATAATTTGATAAAATTAAAAATAAATCGGCTTTATTTCACATGCAAAATACACATACATACATTTCTAATATTAAACACCTAAAACCTAAAAAATGAAAAAAAAAGCCAAAATTAAAAGAAATGCATGATGTCATAAGGTCCATGACACAACATTTGAAGACTATGCTAATGACTCGCGAGTCGAGAATGACGAGTGCAATACCTCAATAGAATGACGTTAGCGCCGATCTACACACTGCAACTCCAGTGCATCGCAAGAACGCACTTATTTTTTTTTTGTTTCAGTTTTACATTTTCTGTGGTCAGTTTGTGATATATTTCATCGTCAGCTTTATTTTCACAATTCTGGTTGATTCTCCATGTTCCACTCTTTTCAAAGTGTTTTTAGGAAACAGTAAGTGTTAAAATTTGCTATAGATTTTGATTTTCTTTTAAAAATCTTTATACAAAATGTATTACGAATTTATAAATGATTTTTATAAAATTCAAATTATAGACTAGACCTCCGCAGTTTCTGAACCAACATTGTTTTAACGTTTGTTTCAAATGCTATAATATTTTTCAGGTTACAAAAAAACTGATTCAGGCCAACGAGGTGATGAAAATACGTCCAAAAATCGACTTGCGATAAGCCAGCAACAAAACGAGTTACTCAATGTTCAGAATAAAGACGCGACATGATATGTTTTGTTAAGTGAAATATATTTTTTATACTACAAAGGATTGATAATAAAAATGTGACAAGATATTTCATGTGGTTTACGTGGAGACGTACAAGTACACATCACATAGATCCTTAAAAATATAACTTGCTACATATTTCGTAGTGCTAGAGCTCCTTGTAAAAGAGTTCGTCCAGGAAAATACTACAGCCAACTTACCCATTTCCGCCGCCAAGTAGCAATGTAAACATTATTGCGTTCCGGTTTTGAAGGGCACTGCGTCCGTTCCTTACCTGAGAATGTGAAAATCTAGAAAACTCGGACCGACTTTGGATGTCGCTTATGCACTAAGTCTGATACAAATCCGAGAAAATGTCGTCAACTTTATGTATTGTTAGTACATTATGAAGACGCAGAAATAAGAAGTTTTAAGTGCACTACTCCTGTTGAACTGACTTTTCAGGGAAACAGTTTATGATAATTACTATGAACTTAAACAAGTTACTTGCTGTTTTTCTTCATCCCACCGCGCAGCCGTCACCACCGCGTCGGGATTCGGATTGGATGCAATGTGCAAGCGTTAATACAAATAATACCGAGAAAATAATATTTCGAATTGAAGGTATTCTCGAATTCGGAAAACAGAATTCGGATTTAGTTCGCAATCCGTCATACAACTAGTATAGACTACTTCGGACCGTCATTTCTCGTATTCGGAACTGATGGGTACAAAAGCTCTAAGTAAAATTATAGACACAAATGAGACTCGCCAACTTAGGGTGACATATGGCTTACCTTTCCGTCACTTGTATCATAAAAAAAATGTTTTTTTTTTACGGTTTTTTTAATTATCTTAAATCATCGCAATAAAGTCAAGGCGATGATTCAACTAAACATGCATTAGCGATAAAATCAGGATTTTCCAACGAAACAATTAATTTTAAAATTTTAAATATAACACAATATTATCTAATCCGTTTTAATACCTTCTTATAGCTAGTAATACGTACGCTTATTGATATTGATAGTGTAGGCGATAACGATATCAAAAACTATTCTGCCTTAATGTTGCTACTTGAAATAGTTAAAATCTAGATTGAGATTAATTTGTGAAATGTCATTTTATGGGACCCAATATAACCTGAAATGTAGCACAGAGCATCTGATTGTCATGACTCGACAGAGCATCTGATTGTCATGAATTTCTGTGTCAAGCAGTTTAACGTATAGATATATCACAGAACAAATACTAGGATTATATCAACATTATTCTGTATTATGTCACTAATCATTATGAGATAGACCATTTTCAGATTGATCTGTATATATTTTACCATCGAATTCATCGTTATTAATTGTTACTCGATTTATGAAAGACATATAATTACTGTATAATGAGGAATAAACAAATTATAAAATTTAATTTATATGAAAGGGTCGTTGAGGCGATCTCTGAGGGAGGTTTATGTTCAGCAGTAGACGCCTTCAGGCTAAAATGATGATAAGAGGATAGGAACACAACAAACGAATCTATTTATTAGCTTAGAAATTCCGAGGTAGATGATTCCATTTGACTTATGAATATTTTTCATGTTTGCTTAGTAACAAAATAAATTTGTGTGCTTTCCATTGTGTTTTATTTCTTACCTACTACGAAGAAAGAAATAAAAATTCCTTCGATCTGACTGGACTCGAAGCAGTATCTGTTTGCCTAACCAACTCTACCGCTCTTCCAACTGAGCTTCATACTGAGTCAGCAGGTCTTATAAATTTCTCATTGTGCCTGTTGCGGCTTTTTTTGTTGGGTCTTTAACGGCTTTTTTACAGTTACCCCTAGCAGCTGACAATAGATGTCGCTATATGGATTGCAATGTTTATATGTAGTGAATATCAAGATGTTTTAGTAACCTTGATACTTATATAATTTTGTGAATCCTCGCCATTTTTAATGTTGGCGGCGTTCTGGGGTTGTCAATCTGTGCAACGATGCCTATGAAAATTTTTTATTGGACTGAGCAAACATGAACAACTTAGTAAAGTATTTCATGAAACCTTTTTGGGCTCTCGGCCTGCCTGGCTGGCTGATATGTTGAAGAATACGAAAGCGAATAGAAAATAAAACTACATCATTTTGTTAAGTTTTATTCATTTTATCGATAATAATAATAATAACGCACACATTCACAGCCCCGCAATAGGAAAAACCCTGAATCGCGGGTGCCTTGGACACACATATAGACAACCACAAATGACACCCAAACTCGTGAGAGAAATAAATATAGGCCGTACACATACTTCTCCCGGCCTGGGAATCGAACTCAGAACCTCTGCGTCGCAGTCACATGGTAACCGTTCGGCCACCGAGGCAGTGTCGATGTACGATAATGTGAGAGGTGTTAATATATTTTTTTTTATGTGATAAGGACAATGACTCTAATAAAAGAGAAACTGATGGTCCATCAGAGAAAAAACTAGAGTTTGGCTTAAACAGGGTACATAATGCAAGCATTCAAATGGGTAAAGAAGAATATGATCGTCTATATCCAGACGACGACGACCAACTATTTTGTATGATGTTCCGAATTCCATTCGTGATATGGATAACATCTTGTCGTGCATTCAACGATACGTGCAAATAAATATAATTTTATATTACTTGCTTACTCCGCTGGCTCATCGACACAAATTGAGTCTTGGCCTCCGATACGGGTTGGCGCCAGCGTGCCCTGTCTTGTGTGACCCTTCCATGTCCTTCCAGTTCTCTGCGCACAGGGCGTGGTGGTCTTTCTCCACTTTGTCCCTCGTCGTCGACTACTTAGACTTTCTTCCGAGTCAACGGAGTCTTGCGGATTTGATTCTCCTATAACATTGGGCTCAGACACGATGTCCTCCAGCTCCTAGTGCGTATATAATTTTACATTACCCATTTGAAAAACGAGAGAAATAAATTATCGCTATCCAATACTTCATATTTATTAACGTCGACATAATAAATATATCATTACTTGATACTTACCGATAAGATTAAAAACTCAATTAATTTTGCTTTAATCTTTTGAGAATCTATTTAAACTTCCTTAAACCTTAAATCGCATTATTCGTTAAGAAGTCACTATAGGTATCGCTTGTACGAACTTCATTATTTTTATAATGGGTAATTTGTAACGTTTGTAAAGATGATGTCAGTTAAAATATTTTTTGTAGTATTAAGCGCATATTTAATGTTAGTTGATAAAGTAAATGGTAATGAAAATAATAGAGCCATTGATACTAAATGGGAAGCCAAACATCCAGCATTTGATCCAAATATATACGAGGAAATTTTAGATCCTGACCTGTGCACAAAACAACTAGAATATTTAATTTTGAACGATACACTTTTGATGATGACATGTAAGTACTGTAATAGATATTCACTAGGGAAGCCTTGTATCGCGCTTGCCATGAACACACACATAGACAATCACAAATTATACCCAAACTCACAGAAAAATAAATGTAGGCCATACAAATATTTCTCCCACCCCGGGAATCGAATCCGGGACCTCTGCGTGGTAGTCCAGCATGGTAACCGTAAGGCAGGTACACACGCAGGCAGTTAATTGACAAGTCGCATGTGCCTGTAATTCATAATTTCAAAAATATCACAAAATTATGTGTTAGTGCTGCAGTAAGTTTTAAGGAAACATATTGTAATGCAAAAGCAAATTATGTTAAGGTGATGGAATGAAAAGAAACGTTACATCTTCATTTATTTAATTTTTAATAAAAAAGCCTCCACCTCACTTAATGACGACGAGGTCGACAATGGAGCAAGCAAATCTAACCTTTTTTATTATACACAGGAACGTTACTCATAAAAAGTCTTAGAAAAAGGAATCAGTAAATTGCTACTTAGCAATAAGTAATGTTGTATATTAGCTTACTGTAACTGTTGTCATTGTAATTTTTTATGCGCAATAAAGAATATTTCCTATGCAAAACTCGTTATAAAGTTCATACAGAATAAAAATAACGCAATGCAGTAACAAAATTCATTGATAAAGAAATAACAATGAAGTAGATATTCGATGTACCGACAACGGCACAACGGACTACACATTTTTGTTCGAGTATCGCCTCCAGTGCATCGGAACAAGATACGTCAATGTGTAGCTTGATGTGCTGGCGTGGTACAACGTTTGAGCATTAAAGAATAATGCTAGTGCAATATTATGATGCCAGATCTTCGTATTGCTCACGAAAATTGTGTGTAATAATATATTGTGCTGTCTTTAGTCGAATGTAAATGGCAAAAAATACCTTATTAATCATGAGAGGTCCTGTTACCTGTCAGGATGATCCATCAGTGTCTACCAGGCGAAAAGCAAAACCAGACCGATAACAGTATAAGAATATGATTCAGTTTAGTTAAAAAAACCTTTATATTATCTCATGAAATATATGCCTTTGTTGACAAGATTCTCACTAATGCTGTGAGGAAAAAGACATAGAACGCTCTGGCTAAATTCAATTTAATTTACTTATTGTTTTAACAGAAAACTCCGTGACACTTGAAAATGTTATTAGTTGAATTGCAAACATTTACCATTCCGAATATCGGCAGGTTAAAATAAGTTACTGTTTTATTTTTTATCCAAGTTGATACATCCTTACTGAAATTATAAGTAATGATTTCTAAATTCAAGCAGACTTTTTAAAATTTCTCATATAGAACCAACATTAGGTGTTCATGTTCTAAGTTCTCTCAGTAGCTAATGAAAGTCAGTGTTCACATTTTAAAATATTTTGAAGAGATTCCTTCTAAATTACGAAATATACAGGTAACGTGTTTTATCACCAAATTCTCGACGTCACGTTAACACCATGCCCAAAGAATTAGTTAGTAACTGCCCAAGCAAATAATATTTTAAATTAGTACATTTGTAATAAATGTAATATAATACAAGTCGAAGAAGTCTAATCTGCTAGTCATATTTCTAAGCGGGCGTGTACCAACATCCACATGTTCTCTTACTGTCAGGTGGGATTGTGGCCTGAAGTAAGTTAATATTATTTAAAAAAATATTATATACTTACAGTTCTCGAGGCAGGCCCAAGAATACCGAGAGGGATTCTACAAGGAAATTTTCAAGATCTAGGAAATTACCACCAATGCCTTGGAATTAACAGAGAAATCGATCACATGGTTATTGCTGGGAAGTATTGTCACATAGGCATTGGATTGTCAGATCTTGAAATCTTAGGAGATACAATTGAATTGGACAACGCAATCAAAGCTATTGATACTGTAAAGGATGAAATACATTTATATGAAAGATTAGGAAAAAATTTAAATTTTGTGGGTGGAATAGAGAGAAAAAAAACTTTAAGGTATGGATCGAAGTCAAAATAATTGTATTCTATATTGAGCAGTAAATCTGGTTTATCGGATATTATAATTACAAGGTCCACGTAGTAAAACAAGATACACTTACTTCCAAACTTAATAAGTTTAGTCGTATAACGAAAATCTCTATTTGACATTAATGTTATATATTTCTGATTTTTAGAACGGATGCAGTTACTGTGAGTAATGTTCGCTTTACTGTTGCTATTTGCGTACCAAAACCTTGCTCCGTAAGACAGGCGTTACCAAATCTCATTGGAACTGAATTGATCCATTTTGAGGAACATTTTTGCCGATTCAAAAATGACAAACCCTGGGCACCGGGACTTTACGTGGCTATGTAAGTACACTTTTAGGATTTTATCTCTGCCAACTGTAATTTCATCTCATTTGTCCATGTTGCAAATTCAAGTGAGAAATCCTGTAAATATTTTTGATGGTAGGTGTATTAAGTTAGCAAAAAATTCCGTACAGTATCGAAGTATAATTGAAAACATTTAAAAATATGTATCAAACTTGAATTAATTATGTGAAAGTGAAGAAGATGAAATTCTAGCAGATGTCCTTGCTGAATGACATGTTCTATATACACCATTGAACCTGGGACACATTTGCCTATAGTGGAATACACTGATTGCAGATTAAACACTCAAAAAAAGTTAGCTAGAGGACAAAAATCGCACGGACTTTTTGGCTAACTCAATTGTACAAATAGATAATACATTTAATAACAGAGTTTGTTGCCTTGGAAGACTTTTTCACTATTAAAAACAAAATATAGAGGAATATAGAATAAACCAATTACGCAATTATCGGACAACACACGTTATTTTTCAGTGTTGTCTTCAGTTTAATTGGCTTACTGACCATTCTTAGTACAAGCTACGATATATGGAATACGCTTATTCGTAAACGAGGTAAGCTTTATTTAGCAGATGATACATCAATTCATAATATAAAATAGCAACTGTCCGTTTCTTAGATGTTGCGGCCAATGTTAAGACTGTCTTAGTTTCTTAGCCAAACTTATCAAAGGAAGAATTGAAGGTTTTTTTCATTTTGCAGTTTAGTTTGCCTGGGAAATTTACAATATATTTTAGAGAGTACATCTGATATTGCCAATAAAGATCCTACCTCTAACTTAATAACTATTAACTAATAAAATTGGGGTTTGCTATTATGACAAAATCAAAACAGTTAACAGCGTCCATTTTACTAACAGATTACAAACTTATTAAAATTAGTTTAGAAGATAGAACGACATTTATCACGTGTACGAAGTCTACAATAACTTTTTAAGGCGCTTTTAAAAGCATTTGCATTATTTTGAAACGAGCAATGCAACATAAACTTTATCTTCTTCACCATAAGATTACATTTCTTTTAACAAAAAATGAAAAAGAAAATGCAGCTGAGCAAGGGGCACTGCGTCGCGTGCATTAAATGCAATATAATTATATTACACACTATTGTGTATTCTATGCAAATTGGAACATATGCTTTAATTTACAGCTACACCACTAGAGCAGCGCAGAGGTGATCCTAGAAATAATAATATTTTCGGTATTTATTTTTTTTTTATTTCAGATCCCAAATCTCTCAACACAATTTGTCTATCGTTCTCTGCATACACAAATTCTCGTCGTCTCATCACATTTAAACCAGTTCGCGGTACTCTAGAATGTGTCGACGGCATCAGAGCAATAACCATGGCTTGGATTGTAATAGGGCACTCATTTGGTGTTTTTCCACCACTTATAAACAACATAGACTATTTTCGGGTACTTTAATGTATATTAATATGAACAATCTATCTTCAACCTTTCTGAAATAAAGAGCGTTATTTTCGAATGAAAATACGCTTGTTTTTTACCAAACACGTCGCTACCAGTACATTCATGCTTCTTTCTGGTAATATTGAAATCTGAAAATTCCTTTAATACACAATAAAAGTGTACAATTTAATTGGTAGCAGTGTTCACTGCTTTTGTCGAATCCACCTGAATTAAAAACGTTACCACAAAGCATTGATCTATTGTGTTCTTGATTGACGAATAGGGAGAACAGACGCAATCTCAGGCACAGAAGACAAAGATTTGGAAAATTTAAGATTATTTTATTATTATTATTACTGCAGATGTCGATTCAATCACGAAAACCATTATAAAACCTCTTAATGCAGAATAGCTGTACTAAGAACAAATTTCTTGATTACTACATTCGTCATCAATAAAAAACATTTTTATTTTATTGTAGTGGATTATGTCATTTGGTTCAATTTGGTTGACTACAGCCTATATGGCTGTGGACACATTCTTCATGCTAAGCGGTTTAATGGTCGTCTACACCACTGTTGGAAAATTTAGCAGCAGTAAGTATCTACATCAAAATCATAATTCTGATGTTTACATTAATAGGTAAACTTCCTATCTCATTACAATATGTGGTTATTAAAGAACGAGAATCACGCTGTAAGACATTTAACTTTGAGTTCATACATATTTACTGTTTATCACTTTCAATATACACCCCTCCTCTATCCCTACAACGTTCCATGATAATCTTCCATTGTTCGAAATAGTATTGGAAAACTTCTTGTATCTGTCAGGTCAGGACGCATGCCGCTTTCTTTTCCACAGCTTTAATGGACTCAAATCGCGTTCCTTTTAATACAGATTTCTCCTTGGAAAATAGATTGGATGGTCTTAACACTATAACATGTTTGCGAGCTTCTTGTTGTCCAAGCGTGAGAATTTTAGGCGCCATTTTAGCACACACTGCTTGCTACGTTACAATTATTGTTAAGTAAAAGTTGCCGTCCGGATTCTTTCTCAATTTCTACAGTTTCAGCCATAGCACGAATACATAACCAACGGTCAGATCGAATCAGAATACTGATTTTTTTATATATTGTTATCCATTTTTGACGTGGAAGGGCGACCCGGGCGTGAATCATCTTGAATGTCTTCTGGGCTTCTGTAGAGATTTTCCCAAAAAGAAAGAACTCTAATGCGAACAAAGGCTATGATTATACTAAGTTGTATACAGAACTAAGTATACATGACTGCATTTGAAAGAAAAGACTTCAGGATAAACAGTTGTCGGTCTCTGGCGTTTGGGGGTTGCACACTTCTTCTGTAGCAGCGTCAGTCTCGCTATTTAATAGCCACACCTCGTATAGCTTTCAAAATATGATTTTTCTAGACGTTTATTGTTTGTTTATATATTTGACGTCTTGTTTCATTTTTATATTATTTTAAAGATTGATTATTGAATTGTTACATACGAATGAATGATCACTATAGGATAGTTTATGTTCAAAAATGTATATTTAAAATTACTCGGACAACATTTCCGAAAGCGTTGTAATCCAAAATAAAATACAAAACTTGTAGCCATCAGTTTCTTAAGGAAATTTATGTTGTTCAATTACCATACATATTTATTTGGATGCAAAAAGATTTTCGTATCGTCTTGAATTTCATATTGTTTTGTTGATTGTTTTAAGAATTTTTTTTATTATATTGATATATACTTTGAAGACACAATATTACATACATAGACAGGAATGGCTAGAGTTAAACTCACATATCATGCGACGTCATCTGTGTCTCGATATTGTCATGCAATTGTTTGTTTCCTATTTGGTGCTACAATTCATTATATACACCTTTTCAAACCCACCATCATTATTAATTTTCTTCATCTTACAGTGAAATTATTAAAGAAACTCCATTTATTTTACCTAAATCGACTTGTACGACTGTATCCTCTACTAGCCACTACCGTATTGCTGCAAGCTAGTGTAGTATTTTACATGTATGACGGAGCCATGTGGACTTTAGTAGGTTTCGTGACTGAAGAATGTAGGACAAACTGGTGGTTAACACTGCTCTATGTGCAAAATTTTTTTCAACCAATAGTATGTATTATCGCTTTTTTAGACTCTGTAAATTTATTGTTAATAATGTAAAGAAGTTGCATGGGATTCATGTTTTCATGATTATTGAAGGCTGAATGTCACTTATCTAATATTTATCCAATGTTCTGTATTTCATTGTTCAGCCATCAGCATAAAGGATCATATTTAATATAACGTTATTTGTAACACCATACAATATTGTATAGGTAACGTTAACCCATGAATATTCGAGAGTTTTATGGACGTCCTCTTGAATTGGTCAAATATTTAATTCATATTTGTATCTGTTTATACTTTCAGTGTGTATCTCACTCCTGGTACTTAGCAATTGATATGCAACTCTATGTTTTGTCTCCACTGGTTTTAGTCTGGGTATTGTCAGGCAAAAAGAAACGCGCCTGGTCGGCTTTGATTGTTGCATTATTAGTTTCTCTCACTGCGTCGTCAATTTACAATTTCGTGAATAATTTCCCTGGTTCTACTATACAAGCTATGTAAGTATAGATTTTAAAACATTGATTTGACTTAATTTACTCAACAGCCCCACGTACACGGTCACTCCACTGCGCGTAATCATGAGCGTACAGGTGCGCAATTACCTGTTTTAGTTTTTTAAGCTAACGTTCTTTACGTTACAACGGAAAGAGCGTCCGTGAAAAGGCTAATCACGCATGATAGACCGCGTGAAACTAGATCGCACACGATTGTTGCATCACGCGCTATAGAGTGTCTGTGTAAAGCCCGCTATTGGATAAGTAATAAAATATTATTTTACTGATTTTAAAGGATCTTGTCCTAACTTTTACTACATTAGTAGTTTCGATTGATAGATAATGTAGTTTTCACTTCTAGGAACAGTTTTGTGTACCTCTTCCCGTATGCAGCTTTCACTAAGATATTCTGCTATACTATACTGAGGTTCCCTGAGTTTCACAATACTACTCTATCATGGTTACCTATACAGATTCTTATAAACTGTTATGATTCCAGATTAGAAGTAAATGAGAGATACGGCAGATATTATTATTTCAATACTTTAACAAGATGTTCACCTTTCTTTGTTGGGATGTGCTTTGGATATTTGATCCACTTTTGGAGAGAAAAAAGAATTCGATTAACAAGGGTAAGTTAGTAACCTATATACATGATACAAAACGACGAAACAAACAAGTCGTGCGCTCGGTAGTAAGAAACACGACAGCAGTTGCTGTACCACTCTGGACTTTAAATCACATAGATCTGCCACTGCACTCGTCTCCCTGTAATATAACTTTCACCCTGAGACATAACCTGACAAGTTCCACGTGCCTGTAGTTTCACCAGCACCCTTACCCTTCAAAACTGGAACGCACTAATGCTCACACTACTGCTTGGTGGCAGAATCAGGTAAGTTGGCAGTACTTCCCTAGACGGAAGTTTTCGCAAGGATTCTGTTACTGTTACGGTCAGTTGTTCAAATAACGAATGGAAAGTGATGCGTATTTTGTGTATTTATGTTCATTTTATTCACGATGTATCCTGGAATAAAACTGCACACTGTAGAATTTCGAAATAGTGCTCAGAATTTAGACATCACATTGATGACAAACAGTCGTAGCACACAAATTTGTATGAAAATGGGGACGGTCTTATTCATTTATTTCATTAATTATCTTTCATTAATTATAACATAGAATAAATTATTTAAAAAAATACTGACTATTGCAATTTCATTAAATTAATAAGTTAATTATAGTCCAAGTCTACATCCATTGCGATCAATTTACAATAGATGTAGACCTAGCAATGCTTTCAAAGTAAGCGCTCGCTGTGGATAGAAATTTATTGTTGAATAGAAAATCTTCATACAAAATATCGACTGCCTTGTCGGTCAGTGGTCATTTCTGGTTATGTGGTCATATAGTCCACATAACCAGAAATTGTTCTTTTACAGATCTTGAATTATATTTTATGGATCGTCAACTTAACCATATTGTGGTTGGCTTTCTACGTGTCTACGCCGATGAAAAGAGATGACTATGATAATCAAACTTTGGACAACATAGCAAATTCCTTTATGCGACCAGCGTGGGCTCTTGGGCTTGGCTGGATTATTATTGCTTGTGCTGAAGGTTACGGAGGTGAGAAAAACAAAACAATACATAAAGAATAAATAAAACGTAGTTTGTATTATGATAATAATGTACAAGGTGTCACATGGCTATCGGACACAAGGGAAAAGTACTTATATTGCATACAGGATATTTTGCTACATGTTAGCATTGTTTTATGTTTAAAAGTAAGCAATATTGCATGTAAAGACTTTTCAAAAGTTGCTTACTCATCTGGGAATCGAATTGATCAAATGTGAAAAAACATTCTGTATTTTTATGATGCCGAACGAAAGAGTCATCTATAACGATTAACTCATTTTAAGTAACAACGTATTTTAAATTAAAGGAAATGTTTGAATTTCAGTATTATTTTTAATTATTTTTATATTACTTTGTAACTTTTTCTTTCTTTCTTTCTTTTCTTTCTTTCTAAGCGTATTTACAGTCACGTGTATTAGTAAAACAAATAAATATTTTGCTTAATTGCTCCCTAAAATTGTTTCCTGAAATATATTAATCTTATCTATCTAAAGTTGTCAACGCTTCTTGCGAACCTTGAAATATCGACAACATAGAGGTGGGAACCCAGTCTACGTTTAGTCGTATTTTATACGAATATTTATATATAAATACTTTCAGGACCGATCAACTGGTTCCTGTCGCTGCAAATTTGGAAATTGCCTTCTCGACTTTCATACGCGTTATATTTATTACACGCGCCCATACAAATCATTATAGTCGGAGCCGCTTCGCAGCATGTTTACTTTACTGTGTCGAATTTTGTAAGTATTATTAGTCCACCTTATTTGCTTCTCAAGCAAGCAAATAAGGTCACGACTCACGATGGACTGTGACTATATTGTGTGTTTTTATAAGGTACTCTGAGCAAATAAGGCCCACCTAACCGCAAATTCAGTCACGTACGATTTTAAGGTTTGAAGTAATTGAACTGTGTTCCGTACAAAACTTTATTTATTTCTAAATAAAACGAAGTACAGTTTTTAATGTTTTTAATAGAAATTTTTACGTTTTTGTTACATTTAAATAACTATTATTTTATTAAATTTTATATGTCAAATTAGGTAAAGTCAAGAATAAAAAAGTACCTCTATAAAATACAAAACCTCATCTAAAACTCATATCATCTATACTCATATAGTCATAAAAAGCTAAACAAAAAGTATGATAATCAATATTTAAAACTCTTCACCGTAACAAAACAATCTAAAACTTTGTTCCCATAATCAAAAAGATTTTTTTTTTATTAAAAATAACTACTCAAAGTAATAACAATATAATTAGAATAATAAAATAAATTCAAAGTAGTTAACAATTTAATGACTTTCGATATGCTTACGTAATTTAAAAAATGTTTACTTTGAACCTTATTATACAGCTGTGAGTAATAAGTATCGGTGGTATTGTAATTCAAATGAATATATTTCATTCTCCTTTGTCAACGTAGCGATGTAGGTTGGGTATACGCATGGACCAATAAGTCAAGAGGAATGCTAATCGTGATACAAGCAAGCGTAGTCGGTCTGTATTTAGTACCTATTGGTACACCAGATGTCGCGACGAGTACCAAACAGCTATTTTAGTAACTAATTTGTTTTACATTTTAAAACTGCAATTTATTAAAATGATAACAAACAAATCAACTAGATGGCACTTATTGCATAGATTGTATGGATGCTTCCGGATGCTCTTTTTTTGTTTAGGATATTAGCAAGTGTTAATTTTTAAGTTAGTTTGTAACACACAATGCTATTTATTTATTAAAATTCAGTAAATAATTTTATCTCAAGATAAATATTTAAATAATATTACAAGGAAAAAACTAGTCACATAGATTTCATATTAAAGAGGAATCTGTTCATATCCACTGCCATTTACAGAATATGAACTACTTTCAGATTTTTAATACAAAGATCGAACACTCAGAAAAAACACTCAGAAAAAATTCCTTCGATCCGGTCGGATACGAACAGACGTCTTCTTGCATACCGTGCCAGACGCTATACCAACTAAGCCACGGAACGAACCAACGGATCTCACGAATTTTTCTATGTGCTTGCGTCGTGTCTTTGTACTTGGTTTTTCAACGACTTTTTAGTCGTAGCGCCATCTATGAGAAATCTATGACAGATTTATTACCCAGTTAGTACCTTTACAGCTACCAGTCCTGGCGAGAGATGTCGCTATTCACTGTATTATACTTTCAGATTTTGAACTTATTCAGAGTTACGATCTGTATTATGGAGATTAGCGGTCCTCTTGAGTTATTGATTCACGGTATTTTTAACGTAAACATAATAGTGTAATAATAAAGTATAGGTACAGAAACTTAATTAGAAAAAAATATTAACTTCAGTTTTAACTTTCTTCAACGAGGCCTTCGACGACTAATAACCAACGGCCCAACGGTTTTGTATCGGGCTTTATTTAATTTTGAGGGCCTTATTACACGATTAGATGAATTTAAAAATAAAATCAAAAACCAAATTAATGCAAAATGCCACGTAAATATTAAAAAATATAAATTAACATTTGAAAAATAAAATTTACCGTGGCTAGGTTCCGCAACCGATAGCGTTTTTCGCGTAGATTTTCCCTTACAGAAAGCCCTTCTAGCGAAAGTGTTTAGTAGCATCCTCAAGAATCTCAGCAGTTTTATTCGCACACTCACACAAAGACCAATATTCATTTAGATGCCAGGTTTGAAATGTATGCCTGTAGACATTCATTACCGTAACCTTCTCGGCTACGGACATTGCAGGGCGTGGTCTTTTTTCTTTTTTCTCCATAGTGGTTATGTTACCACGAACGCAAGCAAATACAAACGTAACAACAGAGTAAAACCAAAGCTCAACAAAAAAAAAACACAAAACGAAAACTTAACAACATGATGCATACGCAGCAAGGAACACATTCGATAAAGACGGCTGCCAGAAACCGAATGAAGAAAGAAAATCGCAGTGATGCACTGGTGCTGAAAATCTGACTTTTAATTTTTTATTCATTGTAATTAACAGTATTTAGTAATGAACCAATTTATTTATTCAATTTTATTATTCTTAATAAAAAAATAATAATTTAATAAAGTATTAAAGATAGCAATAAATTGTTCACACTCTAGCTTAAAAGTATTTGTGTAAACATGTAACAAATAAAAAAAATCAAATAAAGAAGAAGAACAGCCAAAGGTTGTTCATCCACGTTTATTGCCAAAAGGATAAAAAATCTTTCCACAGCATTTTGAGATTATCTTATTAAATATGGTGTTTGAAATAAAAAATATGATCTGATAATATTTTTTTTGTACATGCACACAATTTAAAAACAATATAAAACATCTTGCATTCACTTTAAGCCCTTTTCACTGTTCCACTATTCGTAAAATATTTTATTTGTAATGGCCTCACCTTTGTTCAATTTTTTGGACTATGATTTCATCTCAGGTTTTAGATATTTTAGGCAAAATCGTACTTACTTTAATCTATCAATAAAATCGTCCACAACAACTACATGACTATTTAAAATTTTGTGAATAGTGGCAACCTTGCAAATGTCATTTTACTCAGACTTAAAAAAAACAGACTATTTAAATAAGTTACTATAATGGAAGAAAAAGGTAGGCAATATTAAAAAGGAAAAGAAATTACAATTTCCTACAGCTTTCAAGCCATTTATTTTATTAAATTCGTTTTTAGTAATCCTTAATTTTTTTTTATAGTTTTACATTTTCTGCAGCCAGTCTGTAATCATTTTCATAGTCAGCTTTGTGATTACGATTCTGGTGGATTCTCCGTGTTCCACACTTTTCAAGGAGTTCTTACAGAGCGGTAAATTTTAAAATTTATTCATTATGAATTTCTAAATCAAAAAATGTTCTTAAATATTTTTTTTTTAAGTTCAAATGGGTACAAGACTATCGTAAAACAATACCAATTTTTTTACATCGTTTTCTAGTTAACGTTATTTGAATTTATTTTTTAAATAAAGAATAAAATTACAGGTCTCAAAAAATCTGAGTCAGACCAACAAGGTGATGAAAGAGCAACAAAAAATCAACCTGTGACGAGTCAGCAACAAAACGAATCAGCCATAAAATAAAGCAAAGACACAACATAATTTTATTTTCTATTGCCCATACATTTTTTATTTGCTTCCAATTTCTGTTGTCAGTGAATAGACATACCTGTATATACATTATAGTCATGTGGGATAAAAGGAACATACGTTATTTTGAGTCAAATGTTCTGAGCTCTAGGAAGAACAAATAAAATCTTATAAGAATTTTGAAGTACACGAAACTTGCCTTTTTTGTTACCTTTACATGTTTTAACAATTATTACGCTAAATTTAATACTTGCAATGTATTTGCTGAAAACGTGCTAATTGTCCTAATGTTTCTTTTCCTTAAAAGAATAGCCCTATGCACACAGCGTATTTTTTACGCGTTGACGACGCGACGCGCAGATGACGCGCGTTAACGCGTTACAAACGCGACGCTGTCGCAGCGAGTAGGTACAACTTAGCACACGTTCACAAATTCAGTAACTGCAGACGGGCTAAGATAGTTTTAATTTTAGTTTTATTTCTTAACTAAGAAAAATATAAAAGCATGAACACTGCGTATTTTTAAATAGATAGAATATAGTAATAATTGAGTACAGTTACTTTGTAATTATTACTATTATTACTATTAATTTTTGAGTATTTATTTTGCATGCATTGCACTAGACATGAAGTATGAAAAGGATAAAAAATCACAGCAAAACTTATCTTCAACGTAAAATTCTTAGTATAAACTCCAGTGGAGTATATAAGCTTCTTGCTATCAACGCGATGGTTGCGCGTGTTTGTGTTGATTCAAACGCGTCTAAAACACGATACAGACGAGCTTTAAACACACTTCCCGCGAACGCTTGTATTATTTTGCAGGTGCGTTTGAATCGATACAAACGTAACAATCTGCTTTTTGAGCCTCTATGGCATCATAAACACGCGTTATTGAAACGCGCGTCGTCGGCGCCGGCGACGCCGTGTGCATAGGCTCTAAGAGAATATTTTGTCACTTAGCCCCATTTTAATTAGCAGACGGCAGAATACTTCCCCGGACGAACTCTTTCACAAGGAACTCTACTGCTACTAAAACTACTACCGATATATAAAAGAAACAAAGTTTAAATTGTTTTAAAGAGATGTTGCTACAATGCACTATGGGAAATAATAGAACAACGGCGTATAAAAAATGGTTTTGACCAATGTCTAAATTGAAATACACATTTAATTTTATTTGATAGTTTAGTTGTCATACTTTATTATACTGAAGGTTTTTTTATGTTAGATAGGTACGTTGATTTAATAAAAATACCTCCAAAATGTCCTTTCCCGTACTCATCTCGCTGTGTCGTATAATTTTGAAACTTTCGACGTCGTAACGTAATGCCGCTTACCGTGCGTACACCGAGGTAACTCTCCAGTTTCGCCGCCTGGCTCCTTGTCCGATGCGCACGCGTTCCATCACTGCGCTCCTTTTCAACGCACCATGTAGCATGTAGTTCTAATTTATATGTAGTACAATGCATTACCGCTCAGGCATCGCAAGGTCGACGCAACGCTTCCTTTGGCATCGCTCTAATAATCACAATAAAATATATTTCATCGCCCTTGCTCGTAAACGTGCCTTAACATGCAGGCAAATAGCGAGCCTAAACACATTTTTTCATGTCTCTTACGTGGTTTAGAATTGTCCTACAACAGATTTTAGGTCTTTTGTGTTCAAAATTAATTTAATTGTTAAAACACAGGTTGCATAAGTATAGTGTTACTATGCCCGGCCAAACATCGGGCATACAAACATAACTGAATATATTGTACATTTACTGAAAGGTAACAATTTAAAAAAATAACATCACAATGACGCACCGTGAAAAATTATGTGAAAAATTAAAAAAAATGTTACACCTTGTCAGTCATTATTTAATGAAACTCGGTGATAATTGTTTGGATCAGTTTTAATGATAATAATTTTATTATTAAATATACCGAGATGTCAAAGTAGTAATAATTTGAATAGCGACAAAATTTATAAACAAATTTAAAAAATTAGACAACTAAGTAACGAATTTGTCATTTTGTATTTCGGATACTGCATAGTAAATAATAAATAAATAAATAAATAATAATAAATAATAAATGTGTTTATTACTCACCACAAAATACAAAAACAATATCAGGCTTAGTAAGTACATTACATAGTATATTGTGAGAGCTGGTGCTTGATATAGGTATTTCACCTGTGTTACAAGTCACCAGGCCCCAACCCTAGCAAAAGGAGACTTAACAATACTAAGTAATAGAGTGCAGGTGAATGAAGCTAAGTTAATAAAAATCAAGTAGAAAATTAATAAAAACTAGGACTAGACAGTATGTTGTGTGTGTGTGTGTGTGTGTGTGTGTGTGTGTGTGTGTGTGTTTATTATACATGCTTTTGCCTATTTGCCTAAATTATATATGTGTGGGTCTGTATTAAAATATAAATGTGGACTTTAATGAACAATTTACGGCAAAGTTAAGTAATTAGAATAAGCAAAGCCTCCGTGTCCTCATAACAAAGGTCAAGTAACCAGGTCACAAGTGCCTTCCGGCATTCATATTTATTTAGTTCATAGATTTTGAGCCTATCATGAAGTTTATTGTAAAGAAAACATCCAAGAAAGCAGAAAAACCTATGACTAAATGCAGTTTTGAGATAACAGCCCTTAGCGACTATGTGATTTCGTCTGGTGGAAGTGTTATTATATGGTGTGATTGCATGTTGTCTTAACACAGTGTGAAGAATAAAAAGTTGCCTGACTGTGAGGACTTGACAATAGGTAAAAAGTTCCTGAGTAGGAAAACGATATGGTTTGAAACATGCTACCTTTAGAATCGACCTTTGTGCACGTTCTGCAGATATGATAAATGTTTTCGCAGCTCCTCCCCATGTAGAGATACAGTAAGTTAAAACTGCCTGACCAAGAGCAAGATATACCATTTTCATAATATTAGCATCTGCTACATGGCGTAGCTGCTTGAAAACATAAATAAGTTTGCGTATACGTGCCGACAATAAGGTAATGTGAGACTTGAAATTTAAGTTAGAGTCAATCTGTACTCCAAGATATCTAATAGTGTTAGTAGTGTCTAGAAAGGTTGGATTAGTTATATGATTAGAATAATGATCAACGGCTATCTGAAATGGAGTATCTTGTGAAACCATCCAATTACGGATAGAAAAAGGTATAGCTTTCATCTTCTCAATATTTAGTGTTAGTAGATTATTATCTAGCCATTTTTTAACTACATTAAACCCAGACTGTGCGGATCCGTAGGTTTCGGTCCAATCTATACCTGTAAAAATTAGGGCTGTATCATCTGCGTAAGAGAAAATTTTACAGTTATCAATTTTTAGATTGCAGAGACTGTTGATATAAACGAGGAATAGTGTAGGACCAAGAATGCTTCCCTGGGGAACTCCCATAGAGATTGGTTGCTGATTACTTACGTAGGAGCCAATTTTTACGCATTGGGACCTCCCCGACAGATAGCTCTGAAACATATTTAGCTGTTGTCCTCTGATACCCAGTGCCTCAAGTTTAAGCAGAAGGAGCGGAATTGACACCGTGTCAAAAGCTTTGGCCAAGTCTAAAAATATTCCAAGACACCTAAAGCGTTTATCCAAATGTGTAACCACATGATCCACTAGGTTATGAACTGCATCCGCCGTAGACCTACCCCTCCTGAAACCGTACTGATTATCAGATAAGATTTTACGGGATTCTAGGAAATTTATGAGTCTATTGTTCAGAATCCGCTCAAGCACCTTAGACATGGCAGGTATGACTGAGATTGGCCTATAATTATTAACTTTGCTTCTATCACCCGCCTTGTAAATAGGATGAACCAGTGCTTTTTTAAACTGTTCTGGAAAGGTGTAGCTTAATATGCTAAGATTGCAGATGTGGGTGAGTGGTTGTAAAATCAATTTTTTGTACCGTCTAATAAGACTACCAGAAATGCCATCGCATCCTGTGGCACAATCTGCCTTTAGCGTGTCTATAATTTGCTCAACCTCTGATTCATCGGTTGTAAGGAGAACAAAAGATTCGTAGTGTGCATGTTCATATAGGTTTGATGCAATCTGAGTGGTAGGCTGGACACTTTGGGCAAGCTCTGTACCAATATTCACATAAAAGGTGTTTACTTCATCTATACAACTTTGCGCATTGTTACCAGTAAGTAAAAGATTATTTGCTAATGTTTTAGATTTATTTATGTTTGTAACTTTGCCAATAACTTCCCAAACACGTTTAAAATTACTACCAGCTCTTCTAAACTCCTCTCTTTCAAATTCTCTTTTTACTCTTTTCAAACGTGCGTTACAGTAGTTTCGATATCTTTTATATGATACTCTGAGTATTTGATCTGCAGGCTCGTGCTTTAATTTTTTGTATAAGTTGTCCCTATGCCGCATGCATCGTAAAAGACCAGGAGTGATCCAGGGCTTGAGAACTCTACGTCTGCGAGGAACGTTACAGATTATGGCGCTAGACTTAATAGCAGAGGAGATGGGATCAATTAAATAGCTAGTAGCAAGATTCACATCTTTAGTATTGTAAACTGAATCGAAATTGATTTCATTTACAGCGGCCTCAAGTCTTACATAGTCAATTTTACAGGAAGAGCGGCATGGTATGGCGGTGTTTGTTGTTAAGGATAGTATGATTGCGTAGTGGTCGGTAATAGTTGTATCGAGGACGAAAGTTTTGGCAACATAATTAGTTCTTAAAATAATGTGGTCAATGCATGTACCACTTTTGGGACGTGTGATGAGAAAATGCCCAGGGTATAAACCATGATGTGCAATCAGATCCTGATAATCCAGGGATTCATTATTGCCTGGAGATATATCTATGTTTATATCTCCTACCACAGCCACATTTGCAAACGATGATAGGCCAGAGATAATGTTGTGTAGAGAAATCAAAAAATTAGCGGTGGAGGTAAACGCAGGAGGTCTGTAAATGGACACAATAGCCAAATTGGTACCGAATTTAATAATTAAACAATTTAGTTCAGATTCAGGCGGTTCATCGACAGTGACATAAGGTATAGCATTGTTCACATATACAACGATGCCATCATTTTTGTTATAAGACTTTGTTGACTTGTAATGATTATAACCAATTAACATAGGTACGTTGGGGTTACATTGCAGCCAGCACTCCGTAAGTACAATTATGTCACAATGTATCTCTGTTCTTTCGAGTAACGTAATAAAACCTAAGATATTAGCATTTATGCTACAAATGTTTTGAGTGATTATATTAATACTCTTATTATTCTGCTTAATAAGTGAGGAACAGTCCTCAGGTTTACAAAAAGTTGATTCAAACAGACATACATTGTCAATGTTATTTAGAATATTATTTATTTCAGGCATTTTAAAAAAATAAGATTAGAGGGTAACTGTAGATTGTTATTATTTTTGTATCTGAACCTGAGATGAACCGTAAGCCGAAGATAAAGTGTATGGTATGATTTCGGTACTTTTAATTTAACAAAGTAGCAATTTACTGTGCTGGCATAGTTGGCATGTAGTGATATGACACTCCTCGTGCTCGTGGTTTGTGTGTTTACTGTACATGTTTGTTGATGTATATATTAATTGTATGTGTGTTTGGAAGTGTAAGTGTACAAGCATTTTTGATATGGTCGAAAACAATAGGCAATTACTGTCAATAAGTCCTTATGAAAATTAATGAAATCTATATAAATATTAATCGCTAATAAGATGCAAAATGAAAACATAACAAATCTTATATCTAGTCATTTATCCTTTATAGATGCGAAATCTGAATCGGTGTTAATTTTTATTACAGCCGAGCCTTCACTTTTCCGCAAAAACACGCAACCGTTTGATGTCCAGCAGAAACTGAAATGATTGGTTTTTGCATAGTCTCTTGCTAAGTGGTAAAGGTTTTTGGTATTAAAAGTGAGATATTCTGAAATATATATTGGCTTGGCTGGTCCATTCAATTTGATGTGGCTAGTATTCAATCAAATTCAAAAGTATTACTCGTATTTGATCTATGAAATTTTCTCAAACCCATCAAGATTTGGTCCTTTGTTTTAACAGTAGTGAATTCCACAATAATAGGTTTATCGTTTTCTCTTTTTGTGTTCACCCTGTATGTATCTTTAATGTCAGCATCTTCGATGTTTATGTTAAGAACTGACGAAATGTTTTTGACGGTAGTACGCAAATCTTGTTTTGTTTCTTGCGCGGCAGCTTTAGGTATAGTACATTTTGTTAGTCAATAACTTGTTTATTGCTTTTTAATAATAAAGTTTTTCTCAGAGCTTTTAACCAATGACACAAGACTACTTATATTATCAACGGAAACATTGTAAAATAATAATTATTATTTCAATAACGAAACGGTATTTAAAAAAGTTTGAAATATACGTTATAATAATAATAACGCACACACTCAATATAGCCCCGCACTAAGGAAACCCTGTGTCGCGGGTGCTATGGACACACACATAGACAACCACAAATTACACCCATACTCCCGAGATAAATAAATGTAGACCATACAAATATTTCTCCCGGCCCGGGAATCGAACCTGGGACCTCTGCAGTGGCAGTCCGGTATGGTAACTGTTCGGCCACGGAGGCAGTTGTCATAACTTTGATAGAAATTAAAATAAAATTGGATAAAGAATGTCGTAAATACGGTAATATGCTTAAAGAGTGCACTTAACAGTACGATGCAATAAGACACAACAGCCCCTGGATAGCCATTTTAAAAAAAATTTCGGAGGCCGCTGTGATACAGACACGTACACAGCATGCATTTAAAAACGTAAGTATATAAGCGTAATTTCATTTCAAAAAAATCGTCATAGCCGTCTTGTATTTCACCCTTTACGTCGCAATAATAAAGATATCACTACATATTCATTTTTTTCTGATAACGGATAAGATTTCAGGAATGCTCTTTAATCTTTGCTTTTGTTAGTAAAAAAGACATTGTAAGTGTTACTAGTATCAACTTCGTTGTTGTAACTAATGGGTAATTGGCAAAGATAATGTCTATAATCGGAGTAATGTTTGTAGTATTAAGTGCATCAGTGTTAATTGACAAGGTTAATAGTGATCAAAATAATAGAGCAATTGATGTTGGATGGGAAGCTATAAATCCACCTTTTGATCCAAATATATACGAGGAAATTTTAGATGCTGAGCTATGTGCAAAACAATTACAATATTTGATTTTGAACGATACGCTTTTAATGATGACATGTAAGTACTGCAATAGTTTTAAATTTACATTGTTTACCTTTTTTATACACAAATTAGGGACATACAGTAAGAGGAAAAACATTTTTATGAATGAATTTATGTATATTTTTCACACCACTCTTATTAAGACAGTCATCCCAGTGCATCTCAATTGGACAAATTAAGCGAGAGGCAATCATTTTCGGGGCACATTTTTCACTGTGCTTCAGAGGATACGGTTTTTTTGCAAATTATTGCATAAATCCATCCTTTCGGGCATCTGCACACATACCTGACACTTTGCATCGTCACGGCAGACGGAACCTGAAGATGTTGTCATGTTGCACCCGTAGAGCGGTGAAGGTTTGAATCGTGCTAATCACCCACAGATCATTTCCGTAAAACGATAAACTAAAATGCTCTAAATATAATTTATTATTTATCTTCATTACTACATCGAGCGAACCTACGATCGAGTGTTTTATGTTCTCTTTCTATTTCCTTATCATTCCGCAGATCCTCCGTCACAACATTGTGTCATAAATACTTCAACCTTTGTACAATACTTAAGGTGAACAGATCTAGTACAACTGGTGGCGTAAGACTTTGCAATAGACTTGTCTGCATTAAGTCAATATTCAATTAAATTATACTTACAGTTCTCGAGGCAGGCCCAAGGATACCGAGAGGGATTTTGCAAGGTAATCTTCTAGATCTAGGAAATTATCACCAATGTCTTGGTATTAACAGAGAAATTGAAGATATGGTTATTGGTGGAAAGTATTGTCGAATAAGAATTGGATTGTCAGATCTTGAGAACTTAGAAAGTGCAACTGAATTGGACGACGTAATAAAAGCTGTAGATACCGTAAAGGAAGAAATACATTTATATGAAAAATTACGAGAAAATATAGAATTTATGGGTGGTAAAGAAATTAAGAACACTTTAAGGTATGAATCAAAGCATAAATTGTTTTATTTTTACAGTTAGCAGATTATTTTTAACTAGTAATAATATTTTAAGTCAATCTTATTTTTTTATTTATCATATTAGTAATATTAAATAAAAAACCACCGTGAGACTCAGACATATTAACTAAAAAAACATGTCGAGCAAAAATTCGACTTAAATACGTGAATTATCCGTTATTTTTAGTTAATATAATTAATAACCAAGGATCGGAATAGGTAGACTTTTTTTACCTAAACTTCGAGGAACATAGACAGAAAGCGGAGACTGCCTTACGACAATATTTTTTATGTCCTGGAGCTGTTCGGCATTCGGGAAATCACTTAAGTACATTAAAAATTGACGTAATTGGGGAAAAACAAAAAAAAAACGTACACTATATTTATCTTAACTTTCAACACAGTGGGTTGGATCAGCAATATTGCGAACCTTGGAGAGGACGATACCTCTCTAAAAATATCAATCGAGAGATCCTATTATCCTAATTAAATATTGTCATTTCACATTTTGCCATAAATCTAAGAGACTAGTACGAAAAAAATGTGTATTTTTTGTATGGTACCATACGTTTAGTGCCCCATCGTTACGAAGTTTTACTCCATTCAGTTTTGGAATCTCTACAGTAATCATCTGACGTAATAAAGGAACATCGGTATGAATTCGAAACAGAAGTTTTAATTTCCTACTGAAACAAATAAACACGAAAACCAACCAATTAAGTTTTATTTTCCTATATGTGAAGCAAGAGACTTTAATTTAAAACAGTTTTAGTTCGGAACCCTAAAAACTAATTATTTGTTATCAATGTATTCAAAGTCCAATAAATAATTCGTGAGTTTTAAAATTCCGGGATGAAAACATCGTGATTATCATTCCGGTATTTCAGAATGCTGTATTATCCACTCCACGTGTACTCCTTCTTTGAAGTTAAGGTAAATATACTCAATCTATTCCGATATTACTATCTACTATTGTTTATATGTCGCACCCTTTTTTATTTTAAAAAAGGCTGGCAAAATGTGTTAAGCATGCAGAAGTTTTCTGTTTATGACATGAAAATCGAGTCAGAAAGTTAAAACGTATACCTGGAATGCCTAGAACACGAAGAGTCGTCGTCGCGATAATTTTAGGATTCTGCAAGAATGTACATTAAACAGAATGTTCGTAATACAAATGTTATTAACTCTAATTAAATGTATTAAGTAACTGTTTCCAGTTTGGCGGGAGATAGTCTTTTGTAAAATGTATACTTTTAGAAAAAATGAATGAATTTTTTTTTGTGTAGGAATTTTCCTAAATATTCTTAAAAATTGGTGTTGCAAACAACTCGTCGCAAAGTTAAGATAAATATAGTCTAACCTGCCTGTTCCAAATATCGTCAATTATTAATGTACTCAAGTCATTTCCCGAATCTCGAAAAAATCCAAGACCTAAAAAACATTCTCGTTAGGCAGTCTCCATTTTCTGTCTATGTTCCTCGAAAAAACCCTACCTATTCCGATCACTGATAATTAATGTGTTGAACTAATAATCGTAGTTATGAGTAATTTTTGCCCATTTTCTGATGCGTATAAGTAGTGAATAGGTAAGTTTTGGCGCGCGTTTTGTGTGCATATC